TTCGTCCATATTGCATGTTTAATGTCTCTTACCATCGACAATGTATCAAATATGCAATCAGTGAATAATTTTACTACCATTGTATTTTCTAATTCAACTTAGTCTTCGAATTGTTATTGATTAAATTACAGTGTCTTTTCGCTGTGGTAAATGAATAACATTGCATGTATATGCTATATCATGAACACAACACCATGTTCTGAGCAGATGAACAATTGCGCAAGTTGTATATGTAAACAAATCACCGTTTACCATATGTAATTAATAACTCAAGCCTTAATAAGCCGCGAGAACACGATGCAATTAATGAGTAACGCCGTAAACTTGAAATCGAGTCTATTTAGAATCCACATTTTTAATTACTAAATTTAATTAATTATGCTAGTTAAACCTCATTGAACGTGGTCAAGATCGTATACATACACGTTAATGGTGATAATTAAATACATATTAAAGCTTTTTGAACATCGAAAACGACGATTAGGACACAGTCATTCTGTCACGTGACACGATTTTCTTTTACTTTTCTTTATTAACCCGATTGACATTTCATTCATTGGTCTTTTATAATACGACACAAGTCCATGACTACATTTACAACTTCTATAAATAAATGATCGAAATTCATGTGCAGTTCATATTTGCAAAAACAGTTAAATAAGCTATTGCTGCCGCCGGGCACTGACATACGATTTCGATTCCGTTTCATCCATTAAAAATAAAAAAACGGTTTCGATTCTCTCACATCCGTTAAAATTACAAAAAAAAAAAAAAAAAAAAAAAAAAATATCATATGTTTTTTTTTTCTTTTCCTTTTAAAAATTTCCATTTTTTTTTATTTGAGACAAGGTAACAATTAGAAACACTGTTGAGTTTCGTTTTAAGAAGCCCTTTCTCGGCAACGACATCATAATTACACCTCACTCGTTTTGCGATGGTTTCAACTATTGCTTAATTATTTATCGAACTAGACATATTTTGAGTGCACGAGTAGTTAACGTTAATTATTGGTTTAAGTTGCTGGGTATGTTTAAATATAAACCCTGTCCTGCTTCGCTGAACACTGTGTAAAGTAATGCATAGCTAGATTTAACGTCGTTTATTATAACCACCCTACGTAATTACCCCGTACGCTCACCCTGGGTAAGATGGCAGACTAACCGACAATTGAAATTTGACAGCTTATCTTAACATACAACCTAATGGTAATGCAATTAACCTGTCGTCGCTGTCAGGTGGCGTAGTGATGGAGAGGATTCAGTATCTAGTCGTAAATACGTTTTCCATTATTTATAAGCCATCTTAAATTATGTCTTCTGCTCTCGCGGCGTCCGTCAGGTCGGGATTAAATGGCGGAAATAGCCAGTAAAGGAGACGATACACGGATGATTGAACACTGACAATGTTTGGTGATTGTCACGTGTCTGTTTTGAATCGTTTACTTTTTAATATACTATATAGTGAGGAAGATTGAATTTGAATACGGCCATGTCAGTCTTTACCATAATAGCATAAATAGGTCAAAGCAGATGATGCCCACATTGAGGAATAAACAAAATAAAGCGTGCACAACATAATCAAGTATATTATTTTCTATACCATTCGTTCTTCTCATAATTTAATTATTCATTTGTTCGTTTATCCAATCATCATGCGTTCATTTATTATATAAATATAACTTTAAAAAAAATAACTTCATTCTCTCATTCACACCCGAGTAAATAAAAGTGCTAAAAGTTTATTATTGGCCAGTAAATTAGCATTCACCGCAGGTATGCAAACTATTGCTGGAGGGTCAGATCATCACGGAAGTCAGGTCAGATTACTGTGTGTGACAGTTTGTATACTATATTATAGGTTGACAGTGAGACAAAGTTGGAGTCGCGACGACTTGTGTTAATGCATAGGCAGACACTGATGTTGCGAAATGCGTCTCCAATTACCTCAGTGTTGATTCTCTTAAAATAAAAGTGCTATCCCGACTCCTGAATATTTATTGCTAAGCCTGAAATAGTACAAATATGCGGAGAGAAAACTGCAAAAATTTAAACAACTTATATTAGCTGTCTGTGTAAGTATTCCGTATTTTAAGAGCAGTTAACATGTAAGCAGACAAAGAGCCTGTAATACACAACATCGATACGCCGCGTCAACGGACATGGACACCACGTGATATGGTTTTTAATATATGCCGTAACTCCAGAAAGTTCAAACCAAGTTCAAGGGCGGTGGTCGTCGCGACGCATCCTGTTCGATAGGGGTCTCATAGTATACAACGCGTGTAAAACTTGTTTATTTACCTGAAACTCGATTACGCGCTGCGCGCATACTACGCCATTTTAAAGCGCGGTGATCGTCGCGCAGCGCGTGTTCGATTTTCATTTCAAATAAACAATGTAGTTTACACACGTTGTATAAGTGGCTATGAGTCCCATATCGAACAGGGCGTGGCACGACGACTGTCGCCCTTTAAGTTTTAGTTCTCGAAAACATTTCAGTAAAAACTTACTAATATTTTAAATTTCTAAAGCTAATTTTAGAGTGAGAGAGCATTCAGATTTGCGAGGTGAAAACATGGCCTGAACGCAATTCAATTATTTCTCTTCTACTTAATGTTTTAATGGTGAAATTGTAAAACGTTTTAACATAACGGCAATTTGCTAAACGCGGGACTGATATTTGCAGCAGGAGCTGACATTTGTTAAAATGAAGAGCGAGAATATGTCTCGGTGGAGGAAGATAGTAACTAAAAAACGAACAACCGAACACATGCACTAGCGGAAGGAACGAACTCTTGAATCAGTCACGGTCAACGTCCCCACGTGACGCCTCAATGAAGGGTGAAATATGAAATTAACAAGGCACTGGAAACTAGACAAAGAGACTCTCCAATGCGAAACTGAACATTTCTCAAAAACCACCAAAGCAGAATTAATTTCAAATACAATTCTATAAATTGAACTTTGGCTGCGATGCAACTCAGTATTGAATGTTTCCCCAGAAAGCAACAACATACTAGCAATGATATATAATAAAACGAAAGTGATACGTGACTGGAGGCGTACTTGCTATTATGAAAAACCTATCTAATATCGCTTATAATTAAATGGCGTTAATATTGTGAATACAATTGTTAAAATTATTTAATTATGATGGATATTTCGTTTTTCATTTTAATGTGTGTGCACAATACACTGCAGAAAAAATGTGTGGCTGAACACGAGGATAAATAGCAAGATATTTGTACGATAAATTAGGTCAAGCTATTGTTAGAATATAATATGCAAATGAGTTTACTGTCACTTCTGTTCAAATGTCAATAATCGGTTCTTTGAATTATTTCCAGTTCTGAATTTGTGTAATTTTCCATAAAATTGTCATTTGCAAGTTGCTTTTCGTGGACAATACATTTTACCAATAATTATGTCTCAGATTCATATTGATTGTCTCTCGCTATTGTGCGTACTTGGCCCAGGACTTGACCGTGGAGAAAACGTCGCTTTTACAATCAACGTCACTTTGTTCCCGATAGTAACAATACATACTAAAATGAAACTCAAGGACACGTAACCCATAGTAGTATTAATTGCATGTTGGACCTAGATGTAAACTGACAAGTTCCCCTAACTTGATTGTTACCGTGTTGTTTACGTTTTTGCACATCCACGCGACCATTGCGACCTGATAGAATACACAATGTTGTAACGACAGGCACATACCCTGGTATAAAATCAATTAGCGATGTACGCTGCCGTAAACCACAAAGTATAATAATAATAACTAAGATAGGGGGTTCATGTCGATATATAATTTTTCTGACTTTTAGTTGGACTCGTCTAATGTATAATTCTGCTGGCGTCGTCGTTGGAACTAAAATTGGGCCGTAAAATAAATAGTCTATTTCTTTGCATACGTTCTTTCTTTTCCGAAGAGAATTCAGCATGTTTCACTTTCCTCCAATTTATAATAATTGCCGCAGGTTAAGTTCATATTCTCATCCTTATTATCATAACTATATGATGCATTTCGCTGCGAGTGATCGGAAGTGCGATACGGAAAACTCATCGTCAGCTGCGCTACGTGCCATGGTGGAAAATGAATAAATCTAACCATAATACGTATTTGCTGATCATGCTTTTGAAATATGAGATAGCTGCCTGTGTAGTACGGAATACACACCGCGGCTATTGTTGTCAAGCAGTGTGATACTGCCGTGATAAGTAATAAAAACAGCTGGAAACGTCACCTTAATAATGCCCTGCACTATAGCGGTATTCATCGCGAGTGAAAAGTGACCATCTTATTATTGAGATCCCAACCGTTACATTCTATAACGTATGCAACCCCGCGTTCTCTTAATACAAACTAATCCGTAAGTCAAAACACACAAAAACACTACATTTTTGTGCCTATTAATATTTAGATTTTTTTTTCAAATCATGATATTACTTTAGAAAGCGTGAGCGCGATTTAGGAAAAAAAAATCTAGCAGTGGCAGTAAACATATATATGCACATACTTTATCTTTTTAGAGTTAGATGTTTCCCAGGGTTCCCATAATTGGAACATGGTGTTGTATTTAAGGTCAATGTGGCTGTTAATGATGCATGAGAAACTGGGCCATCTCATGGATGACACTGACATATCTTGTTCTGCATTTTATTTGTATTATAAAAATAATATATTGTACTGTTTTTAGTTTGTTCTGTGTTTGTTGTAAAATAAAATACGTTGATACGTTTCCGTCTTTCCAGTGACTGAATGCGTCATTGCATTGGGGAAATATACATGCAAAGTTGGGTTACACTGTAGGGGTTTACGATATGCATAATGCAATGACGTTCAGGTCACGGGTCATGAGATTTTACCACAATTTTTTTTTTTTATGTGTGCGTGTTGAAAACTACAGAAGCGATATAATATCCAAACAATTATACGCGTATTGTTATTTCATTTCCATGATATGATCGGTAATAATTTAAGAATATGTTTTTACTTACTAATGTATAGTGGTGCTGCCCTCTTCGACACATTGTCATCGATATATGCTACACCAAGTGTCATGACTGGAGTTGAACCCATACCAACAAGTACTTGCCCAAATACCATCATAATATAATAGTACAGATTCATGTCCTTTTTGCCGAAAAGCATAGGAACGTCCGCATCACACCGGTCAAAGACAGGCGCCTTAGCCGTGGTGTTGCAAATATTTTCGCGATAGTTAGCTTCGTAGATCGTGATTGTGTTGTCATAGCGAATGAGACTGCCATATGGATCGTAAGGCTCGCTGATAAAATGCGGCAAGACTGTCACGGCGCATCCGACCACGATAAGTAAGGCTCCGCCGGCGATCCACTTTGGACGATGAGTGCGGGATTTTCCGCCACAATATGAAACCAACACGATGGCGGCAAGACTACCGACTTCGTACATGCTCGCGAGAATACCTACTTCTGTGGTGTACAGATCAAAACGCCTCTCTATGGTTGTCAGCATACTAGCCATGAAACCCACAAGATACGTTTGCAGCAATAATAAAGCGCATATTAAAAACAAAAAGTACTTCGAATTTGCGAGTCCCTGCAAACATCCACAGGTACAACAGCAAAGAGCGCATTTGTGATCATTGCCGATGTCGTGGAGGTCCGTGCCATCTTCCACATGCACCACAGTTTGGCTTTTCACATTCTTTTTTTTCTTCTTCTTTTCTTTCGCTTTTCCGGAAACCTTAACATCGCCAGCCGTGGACAAACTGATATTGTGCTTATTTTCCTCTTCTATTTTGTCCGCGGTTTCGATGTGATGTTCTTGTTGTTGCTTTTCCTCCGTGTCGCACAGGCTTGTTCCACTTCCTGGACCACCTGCACGAGTCAGGCTCTGTTCACTGTCGTTTTTATGAGTTAAACTGTCATGCGACGAGCTGTGTCTCCCTTCGGGCTCCAGTCGAGGGATATCGTCGCTGACACTTCCATGTGACTGTGACCCTGGGGGTAGGGATCCCATGCCCTCCATGATGTCTTGCAACACGTTATTCGACTCTGCCCTTGAAGACGTTCGACTTCGCCTGTCAGCTTCCCTCGATCTGAGGCTGTGTTGTGAACCGTCTATGCGTGGTGTACTCTCACTTCGGCTTGATACGCTCGATCTCGAGGGAGCGTGCAAAGCCTCGTCTGAGCTTGGGTGCCGAGCGTCGTACGGGGAGGGGTCGCTGTTTCTATCATCTGATTGAAGGCTGTCATTTGAAGAGTAAGGTCTACTCGATGGAGGATTTCTATAATTCGACGATGGGTAAGTTGAACTTCCGTTTATTCGCGTTTTATCGGGCGTCTCCGGTGAGTATGAGAGGGAATTACCTTCTCCCCCCTGCGATCCATCATTCACAGGTCCATGATTTCCGGTTGATGAGCTGGTAGGAGATACTATCTCGTTTTGCCGATAATTATTTGTCACGTGATCATCTGACAGACAAGAGCTACTTAGAGAGCTAATGCTGGGACTACTTTGACTGTCACGGCTGTAATCATAATAGCGGCGACCGTAACTTCCGTCGGAACTTGAAAGAGACATTCTGACTACAGGTTACTGTTTTATTGAAGAAAATCTATTGTTTTCGGTGCACCGTCGTCCGGAAGTCCCGGCCGACAACGACGAAATGTAACACTGACACTGGATCCCCCGAAGAAATCTTGCCACCGACGTGAATTTATATACCCATTGAACGTATGT